TTCAATTAGGACACTTACAAGAGAAATTGCACTCCAAATATTTTATCTGCACTCCAAAATACTCAACTCAACAGTGATGTTATTGTGATGAAGATTGTTTAATAGTGCTGCTTCATAGTGCAGGAAATTGCATCGAAGAGGTGTTACTTTCAACAAAATCTCCGGACCCCCTCTGAAGGAGGGAAAATCCTGATATTCTATGATAAAGATGTACAAAATTGATTGCTTTGAGATTGCAACTTTTTAACAATTCCACACAGTGGGAAGGGGACCCCCCCCCCCTCCCGGGCGCTTCGTGCCCTTGAGCTCGCATGATTCGCCCCCCCCTAGAATTTTCTACTGGATCCGCCACTGGTTGTGTGCGTGGGGGGGAGGGGTTGCGTGTTATTAAACCTCTGTGATCCAAAGAAAAAATTTACTTTAGAATTCACAAAATTGCACTTACAATATCAATTTTTTTCAATTCCCTCAAAAACGGCCATCTTGAAGGTTCTAAATTGATAAAATCCAAGAGCTTCCGGGGACTCCGCCCCCTGGACCCCGGGAAAGGGCTCTGCCCCTGAACTCAGCCAGGGGCCCTAGGGCGAGCCCCTGGACCCCACCCATTAAGGGCTTTGCGCCAAGGCGCTCGCGGTGTGCGCTACTCGCGCACACTCTTCATATACATTGCGATTGAAGTAACAGCGAAATTGTCCCCCCCCCCCCCACAACTGAGGACCTGTCTACGCCACTGCTATTTTTAGTCGGCCTTGTCTCAAAATGCTTCACAGTTGAAGTTGTATGCCAGTCCTAGCCAAAAGCGTCGGACCGTCGGACACAACCGGTGATTTTTGCACGGGTCCGACAAGAAATTTGGCTTTACCAGACCGTGTGTCCGGTAACATTATATCAACTAATTACGCAGAGGCTACGGGTACGGCAGTACAACCCACTATGCCTAACCCTAACACTAACTCTAAACCGACTCGGCTATCTTATATAGGCGTGTACTAAATTAATCTATGGTGTGGGAAAGCGATAGGAAGATATTGGCTGTTATATGATAAAAGATAAGAAAATGATGGCATGCGACGTGTGTGTGTATTGCTATGTCAAGGGCTGGCCGAGCTCTGCAAGCAATCAAGGCAGCTGACCGGCAGAAACTAGGTTATTTATTCAGAAATGATCATGCCACTGCTAAACGGAGCAGACCGTTGACTGATTATACCTGGATCACACAACTGGACAAGGATAAGATTGGACTAGAAATTGGTGAAACCTACATTAATGACAAAGCTGGCCTTAAGTTTATTGAATGCATTGCTGATTGCACGCGTCACGAAATGGATAAAAAAATAAACGATGCTAGCTTTTTCAGCTTTATCATGGACGGGTCAACAGACATAGCTGCATGGTGATGAGCAGGAAAGCATATATGTTAGATATGTCCACAAAGGAAAAGCAACAGAGATGCTTCAATATTTTTTTGGTCCATTAACATATCATTTGGATTTTTTACTGGACCGAATGTCCAGTAAAGGATTTTGTTTTTTGGTGAGGACTGGTATGCAGGAAAAAATAAGGATGAATTTAGATTACTTTTAATTAAATTTACTTAGTTAAAATTTTAAAAGGAATGTGGCTGCGGCCTTCGCGGGCTATAGTACTAGAGCTAGTACTAGTTAAACCCTAAACCGACCAGGCTCTCCGACTGTTACACGTCGTAGGACTCTCCAAACGCTCTCCTCTCGCCAACCCTAAAGCTATGCTCATGCTAGCTCCAAGAAACGGTATTGCTAGGGTTAGAATACCGTAGAATATGTATATTGACGTTAGTCACACAGCCTGGTTGGGTTATGCTCTTGCTTGATATTAACTTACCTCTCATAAAACTGCTTGGTTTCTATTTTGCTGCATAGATCGAATGCTGGAGTCAAAATGGCGCCTAGGTGGCGCGATGGTGGCGCGCCTTCCTAACCTGTGTTTATTTATAGGCCTTGTTGTTCGGCGGCGATTGGAGCAATCTTGAAAATGAAATCTACGATACTCATCATTTATAATCTATATTAATTAATTATCGATTATTAATTAACGTCGCAGGCATAATGACGTCTGGGGAGCTGGAAGATCGTGCCGTCGATGACCTCAAGGAGTTCCCGGTAGAGGGCGCCTGCACTGTGCTGAAGCAGTTCCGCGAGACGAACCTGGAGCACGTGACAAACAAGAGCGCATACCTATGCGGCATGCTGAATGTACGGACGAGGAATTGCCAGAAAGAAGATCAGGTCAGTCAGGCGAAGGGACCGGACGAGGCAAAGCTGAAGGTACAACGACGCCGCCATAGTAGTTTTAGAAATACACGACACAGATGCCAGTGAGGAAAGGCATCAATTACACACACAAGTATACAGGCCCTGTAAAGTACATCGCCCCCATCGATGCATAATAGCAGCAATAGCAGCAGCAGTAGCAGCAGCAGCAGCAGCTGTAGCAGCAGTAGTAACAGTAGCAGCAGCAGCAGCTGTAGCAGCAGAAGCAGCGGCAGTAGCAGCAGCAGCAACAACAGCAGTAGTAGCAGTAGTAGTAGTAGTAGCAGCAGCAGTAGCAGCAGTAGCAGCAGCTCAGCAGTAGCAGCAGTAGCAGTAACAACAGTAACAGTAGCAGCAGTAGTGGTAACAGCAGCAGCAGCAGCAGCAGTAGCAGCAGCAGCAGTGATGTAACACGTAGGTCTCAAGAAAGAACTTCACAGATGGCCGTATAAACTTCGTGGGATGCTGTTTCCCCAACCGATATGACCTCCGCTGTGACCTCCGCTGTGTGCCGCGAGACTGCTCTGCGTGAAAACATGGGAGAGAGAGAGATAGACAGACGGCGAGATTAGGGGGCGAAACAGAGAGAGAGAGAGAGAGAGAGAGAGAGAGAGAGAGAGAGAGAGAGAGAGAGAGAGAGAGAGAGAGAGAGAGAGAGAGAGAGAGAGAGAGAGAGAGAGGAGAGAGAGAGAGAGAGAGAGAGAGAGAGAGAGAAAGAGAGCGAGAGAGGCGAGAGAGTCGAGAGAGGCGAGAGAGCCGAGAGAGCGAGGAGAGAGAGAAGCAGAGAGAGAGAGAAGAGCAGAGGAGACGAAGAGAGAGAGCGTGAAGGAGAGAGAGAGAGAGAAGAGGGGCAAATGCGTGTCGGACACTGCTACTGGAAGGAAAGACAAGGAGTTACATCACCACCAGGATCACCACTAATGTAGGTTCACTAGTATTATAGAGAGGGGCGAGATGAACGTTTCTATACGTCTAACACCGCGTACAGCAACACCCGCAGGCTGTAGGAGGGATTGCTGTTTAACTAACGTGGTGGCTAACTAGGATCGCTGCTAACTGACGTGATGCTAAACTAGGATGCTGCCTAACTAACGTGATGGCTAACTAACGTTGATGCTGAACTAACGTGATGCTCAACTAACGCTGAATGCGCTAACGTTAGGATGTCTAATGACTAACGTGATGCTAACTAACGTGATGCTACTAACTGTGATGGCTAACTAGTGGATGCTAACTAACGTGATGCTAACTAACGTGATGCTAACAACGTGATGCTAACTAGGGAAATGCTAACTAACGTGATGCTAAACACCCGTGATGCTAACTCAACGGATGCTAACTAGGATGCGCTAACTAACGTGATGGCTAACTAACGTGATGATAACAAGGATGCTAACTAACGTGATGCTAAACTAACGTATCGCAACTAACGTGATGCTAATCGTAGGGATGCTAACTAACGTGATGCTAACTAACGTGATGCTAGACTAACCCGGTTGGGGAAGAAAAATTGCCCTTTTTAACTTAACGTGATGCTAAACTAACGTGATGCTAACTAGGGATGCTAACTAACGTGATGCTAACTAGGGATGCTGCTAACTAACGTGATGCTAACTAACGTGATGCTAACTAACGTGATGCTAACTAACGTGATGCTAACTAGGGATGCTAACTAACGTGATGCTAACTAACGTGATGCTAACTAACGTGATGCTAACTAGGGATGCTAACTAACGTGATGCTAACCGTAACGTGAATGCTAAACAGGGATGCTAACAGGATGCTAACTAACGTGATGCTAACTAGGGATGCTAAACTAGGGATGCTGCAACTAACGGTGCTAACTAGGGAATGCTGCTATACCTAACGTGATGCTAACTAACGTGATGCTAACTAGGGATGCTGCTAACTAATGTGGTGCTAACTAGGGATGCTGCTAACTAGGGATGCTGCTAACTACGTGATGCTAACTAGGGATGCGCAACTAACGGTGTGGCTAACTAGGGATGCGCTAACTAACGGGGTGCTAACTAGGATGGCTGATATAGGGATCGCTGCTAACTAATCGTGATGCCCTAACTAGGATGCTGCAATAAGTGGCTGTAATAGGATGGCTACTAGGATCTACGTAGATGGTGGCTAACCTAACGCTGTGCTAACTGGGATGCTAAACGTGTGCTACACGTGATGCTACCATAGGGACGGTAAGGATGCTAACTACACGTGATCTAAAGGATCTAAAACTAGGATGCAATAACGTATGCTAACTAGGGATGCTACTAGGCGATGCGCTAACTAACGTGTGCTCAACTAGGGATGCTGCTAACTAACCGTGATGTAACTAACGTGATGCTAACTAGGGATCTGCTAACTAACGTGGTGCTAACTAGGATGCGCTACCGTAAACCGTGATGCTAACTAGGGATGCCTGCTACTAACGTGATGCTACTAGGGATGCTGCTACCTAACCGTGGTGCTAACCTAGGGATGCTGCAACTAACGTCGAATGCCTAGACCTAGGGTGCTGCTAACTACAGCGGTGCTAACAGGATGCCTGCTCAACATAACGTGGGTTGCTAGCACTAGTGATGGCTACTAACCGGATGCACTAGCTCAACTAACGTGATGCAACTACACGTGATGCAACTAGGGATGCTGCTCACATAACGTGATCTAAACTAGTATGCTACTAGGGACTTGCTAACGTAACGTGTGCTTTAACTACGTGTGCTAAACCTACGGTGGTGTATAACGTGATGCTAACTACGTGGTGCTAACTAGGGATGCTGCTAACTAACGTGGTGCAACTAGGGATGCTGCCTAAACAACCGTGGTGCTAATAGGATCGCTGCTAACTAACGTGTGCTAAATAGGATCTGCACTAACGTGGCTGCTAACTAAGGGATCTGCTTAACTAACCGTGGTGGCTAACTAGGCGATGCCTGCTAACAACGTGGTGGCTGACACCTAG